TGCTTGCATACTTGCCCCTTACCTAATTGGCTTTGTAATAAGAACCAAAGTGCAAAGAATATAAAAATACCATTTGGTAACACCTATTTTTTATATTTTTAAATATGTTTTTATTGATTTTTATAGAGAGAAAGAAAGAGGGAGAGAGAGAAACATTGATGAGAGAAAAACATCGATCAGCTGCCTCCTGCACACCCCCTCCTGGGGATAGAGCTCGAAACCGGGCATGTGCCCTGACTGGGAATTGAACTGGTGACCTCTTGGTGCATGGGACAGCACCCAATCCACTGAGCCACACCGGCTGGGCAACACCTAGTTTTGAATCAGTCATTTATTACTCTCCACCAACCCTTCCTGAAGAAAAAGCAATTTCACCCTGGCCGGAATGGTGAACATTGTTCTATGCACCAAAAGGTTGCTGGTGAAATTCCCTGTCAAAACACATACTTGGGTTGTGGGTTTGATCCCCAATTGGGGAGCATACAGAAGGGCAACCGGCTGACTGCAGGTGAGGATTAAAAAACAGAACAAGCAATTTCATTATCAGAATTAAGCACAGAGGAAGGGTGATATTAGGGTTAATGTTCTAGCTAACTGAAATTTAAGCAGAAGACATTTTCTTACAAACCTTGAGGTTGAAAGCTTTCTAAAACGTTGTTGTATAAACATAATTTTTTCAACTTTGATGACTTATGATACTGAGTTTTTATTGTTCCTTATTTCTTAAAGAACAGCATTGCTTGTGTCCTAGTCAGTTTGGCTCAGTGGATAGAGCATCCACCTGCGGACTGAAGGGTCTCAGATTTGATTCCGGTCAAGGGCACATGCCCAGGTTGCTGGCTAGATCCCCAGTACGGGGTGTGCAGGAGGCAGCCAATCAATGATTCTCTCTCATCATTGATGTTTCTATCTCTCTCTCCCTCTCCCTTCCTCTCTGATATCAATAAAAATATATATTTAAAAAAAGAACAGCATTGCTGAAGCAAATGTAAAAGACATAGAGGCATTGAGCTAAATGTGTACCTTAAAATAGGACACTTTTTACTTGCTTTATATTTTTTAAACTAAATTCCTTGTATCAGGTTATTTTTGTGTGTTAAAGTCTGGTTTTTTTGAGGTCACATATAGGTTGAAATCCTGGCTTTGCTATGAATGAGCAAGTTACCCTACCACTCAATTGTCCTCATCAGTGAAAGAGGGGTAGAGTACCTTTTCACAGAGTTTCTGAGGGGATGGATTTAGCAATAGTATGACTCATGGGGTTATTTAGGGGACTAGGTGAGATCATGGATGTCAATCACTTAGCACAGTGCCAGTCACATGGTATCTATTGCTATTATTTACTCAAACATTCTTCTTTGAGACCTTTACATATACTCAGTACTTAATAGGGGAAGCATATTATATAAAATTATAGAATTGTCAGTAACATATAAGTACAGTTATATACATTTTGATTTCCTTTTTTTTTTTTTTTTTGCCAAAAAACTCACTTGCGTTTTTGAGGGCTGTTTTATTTTTTAAATTCAAAAGCAGAATTAAATACATTGATCACACAGTAGTATAAACCATCATAGAGGAAAATGCAGACTATGAAGCAGTTCAAAACAGATTCCTGTATCCTTGGGTCCTCACTGGTTATCCGAGAGAGGTGACACCACTGTGATAATGACAGCAGAACCCTTGGGGCTGCACTTGGGAGATGCAACATATCTGGGTGAAGGGTAAAACATTCTTTCAGTCCTTCAGATGCTTTGTCTTCAAGACATTTGTAGATTTAAAATTTATTTTTAGTTTTCAACCTCGTGTATGGTACCAGGGATGCTCCATGCTTTTAGTTATGAGATTTCATTGAGTATAGGAGCCCTCGAATTATCTCAGAGTTTTGTAGGGAAGGAAGAGCGAGCAGAGCCCGAGCCAATCTGGTGACAGCCTTATGTGCAGAGTCTAAAGAGCATTTTTAAAATGACTTGTTCCACAGGGTGACGGAGGAATGGGGAATTTAGGAAGCATAGGGTCGTGTTGTGTGTGGCATGGGTTCTAGTTTATTCTCAGCATTTCCTCATCCTCCATTGCCTTTTTTTTCCCCCAGGCCACTGCAATTAGCGATGATATTGCCACACACCCATCATCTTTGAAGTAGGAACAATGGGCGTGGGCAGCTTCCACTATCAGTGGTTACGGGCAATGAGGTACCTTTGGGAGTGAACCACGTCTTTTCTGCAGTGGTGCCATGGACTGGGGTTGTGTTCAGCTCAGTGCTGGAATGGTGACCAAAGTTAGGATCTCACTGATACACCACTGTTCAAATAATTTTGAACTATTCTGCAGGCCTGGGGGAAATGGCTTGGGGGCAGTGTACAAAAAGATATGCCTCACTCCAGATGCTTAAACTCAAGAAGCTTTATACATTCCATCAAAAGGGCAACTTAAATGTTCCAGGCATGAAGGCAGCAAAGAAGCAACCTTATGGATATAGCGTGAGAAAAAGATTTTGTAATTACATTCTCCTTTTAAAAAGCTACCCTTTGAAGTTCTAAGATAAATACAAAGATATACTAATGCCTCCCCCTCCCTTAACTTCTAAGATATACTTTGGACTGAAAACATAAACAGGCTCAAGTTTACAGATACATTCATAGATGACAGAGTTTTTATGGGTCAGATGGTTCACATTTATTTTCAGCCACTGAAACTTTAAAAATATAACTAGCCATTCACTTCCAGAAAATGTGTCATAGAACTTCAGAGGCAGGAAATAAAACTATATTAAACACGTAATGCTTGCAGTTTTTAAAACTTACCATATTTTGGGATGGCAAAGTATATTTTGAAAAAGCAAGTCATAGGGTTTAAAAATGGTTTTTGTATATTCCTTGTTTTAAAAATTCTAACAACAGACCTCATTGACATACTTTAATATACAGTATTTTAGGGCCTTAAGCAAAAATGTCAGTCTCAGTAGTTTCCATTCTTAGTATTTATTTATTTCTCTAACACCTACTGAAATTGAGAAGAGTAATAAAGAGGTAAGGAGGGTTCAAAACAAACAAACAGGAAATAGAGACATTCTTGAAATAGAGACATTCTTTAGTCTCAAATATTTAGAGTCCAGGCAGGTAATGCAGTGTTTAGGCACAAGGAAAACCCATGTTGTGCCAGGCTGGTGCGGCTCAATGGTTGAGCATCGACCTATGAAACAGGAGGTCAGGGTTCCAGCTCCATCCCCAGGAGGGAGTGTGCAGGAGGCAGCAAATCAATGATGCTCTCTCATCATTGATGTTTCTATCTCTCCCTCTCCCTTCCTCTCTGAAATCAATAAAAATATATTTTAAAAAAATTTTTAAGTGGTGCAAGCACAATAAACAGTGAGTGCCACTTGGACTCCTGTTAGAGAGACAACACTGGGGGACATGGCAAACAGAATACCTTCCCCATGTGAAGGTGAGTAGGTGCTTTCTCCATGTCACTGTAGGTCAAGGACTGCCAGATCTCCTAATTTTGAAGAAGAAAAGATGGAAACCTGGGAGTTTTACTGCTCTCTCGAGTATGAAGTATTGGTCTTTAATTAAAAAATTAAAATTATAAGTATGAGCCAAACAAAACAGATCTGTCCCTAGGGCAGCCAATGTGGGATATCTGATTTAAGCAAGCATTTGTAATGTTTATGAACAGATGCAGAAAATGCTCCCCAAATCTCACACTACATACTCATAAGCTTAAATTCCCTCTCTCCCCACACAAAACCAGGACCAGAATTTTCCCAGAATCCTTTCTTTAGTACTCATTAAATGAAGAGATATATTGTTTTTCCTAATCTCTATTACCATGTATCTCTTTAGTTTCCATTAAATGAAGATTATATATATATATATATATATATATATATATATATATATATATATAAAATTATCCCTATTTTCAATTCAGGACTGAGGCAGAAATATTAAGTAATTTGTCTACTTAGAAAGCTAGTAAGTAGTGGAGCCTAAATTTGAATCAGGTGGGTTGGGTCCAGTCTGTGATAAGGTTTATAATAGAAATACAAGTGATTTTACACTCCTAACAGGGGTGTTAAAAATGGTGACATTTTATAGCTTCAGTAAAGTAAGTATTAATTTCAGTGGTCTCTCAGTTCACTGCCTATGTTTAAGTCCAACAGACAACCATTAGGAGTCAGTTGCAGAATGCAGGTCTTTCTCCCCCAAACAAGCCTTCAAACCCAACAGGGACTGGTTTTCCCTCCCCCTCCTCTTGCTCCCCAGTCAGTCCCAGAGAAATAGAATCACATCTCTGGGTTCGTGAACCTGTTTTTTTCTGTGTCTATTTCCTATCTCGTATTGGCATCCTCCCCCTCCCCCCCTCCCAGTACCGTTCATTCACATCACACAGGCAATTGATTACTTACCCACAGACTCACCTAACTGCAGCTATGAGCTGTCTGAAAACGCAGTGAAAGTGAGGCATGCAGGAGGCAGGATTAAGAAGTTGAAGTCCCCCCCTCCCGCCCCCCATCTCTCTCTTCCTGCCCACCAAGCTAGTGTTATTATGATCATCCTTGTCAGCCCCATGTTTTACAGAAAACCACCCCCCTCCCTACGGCCCCGAGCTGTCATGTTGTATTAGATGTGTCTTTTATTGCCATAATGGAGCAGGAACACCTAGTATCTCTTTATTGGTCATAAGACCTGCTGATACACTGTTTCACTGGCCACAGCCTTCTGACAGAATTATCATAGAACTTTAGAACCTTAATAAAATAACCACAGTAACATGCTCACCTATAGGGCAGGTTTTCCCAGGTTGGCACGTTCTCTTATAGGAATTTACTAAATTTAGTTTCCCCAAATTAATTTGCAAATCACATATTTGAAGCTGGAACACTTTCCCTTGCAGTGGTTAAATGTAAATCCTAAGTGGCTGCAATAATGCAATGATTTAGAATACAGTAAAAATAGTATATAAAGTGTGTATGCATACTAATTACTAGTCAAACAAAATACACAGAACAAGAAATTTTATTATCTCAAATGCTGGTGCATAACCAATGACAAGCTTAATTAGAGGAGGAGACAGAAGGAAACTTCAGAAATTTCTGGATAGTTTTGAAACCTTTAAACGTTGACGGCACAACTGTCCATAAAGTCTTTTTTAAATGTAGGGCCTTTCTTTTACTTGACAATTTTCACTTAACAGTTCTTTCATGATGAAGTCCCACCAGTCTTTTCCCTGTAAAGTTAAAGGTAAAACAAAATTCCTCTAGGATAGGAAGGTATTAGAAATAGTTTTCTTTATACTTTCACATACATTTTAATGGTCTGAATTTGAAAATTTACTAAGGAATTCTTCATTTTTTACTTTTAAAAATAATGGTCAAGATAATGAATTTTCTTGAATTACAGATCACAATAGCTTTATAAATGATCAAGATACATGTACAAATAAAATTTCAGATGCCCTTGGAAACATAACATGTAGTACACATGATACATATTTCTTCTGGGGTTTGCTTATACTTCTGGGATACTAAGAATATTCACCTTATTATTATACACAAAAAATTTAGCCTTTGCTACCTACAGCTTGAACAGATCACAAAGCGGAATCTTCAAAGTTTTCTCAATAGGCTTTCTGTCCAATAAACTCAAAGGACATCTGGTGTCCACGTTGGATACATTACTTTTTCTCACGTAATTACCAACAGTGGGCTCTTGCACTGGCTGGCAGTGTGTCTTGGTCACGATGCATTCTTGCAAAAGCATTCCTCACAGTGGCTGTGGCAGTAATTTTTCCCAATGCAAAGAAGATAATCTGGATCAATCGCGAAGTCAAAGCCATAGGTGTTTCAGGATAAACCGGTTTCAACAGTCCTAAGATCCTTTTTCCTTTAACAGCTTTTTTTTTTCTTTTTCACAACTGTGCAGTCACTGCCCCATTCTATTCTGAACAACAAAACCAAAAAAAAATTTTTTTTTGAAGATGAAGTTTTTCATTGGCACGGAACCATTTGGAATAAACCCAAGAGACAGTGGAATGCTGGGTGTCTCCTCAAGTGGCTTCCTCCTCTTTCACCGCATTTGACTAATCTTTGTCAATAATCTCATCACAGCCGAGCTCTTCGGTCAGGCGATTGACAACCATCAGTGAAAAAAGCTCTTCGATAAAGGCCAGCTGATCAAACGGGGTCTTCTCGTAATGCATCTGAAAACCGCCGTCCGCGGCCGCCTCCCCGGCGCTGGACGTTCTCAGAAATATCTTGTTGGCTTCGTCCAGGGCCACGGAGGCCCCCCGGTAGCTGGCACCGCGCCGCTGCGCCTCCTCGGGGTAGTCGTAGTCGTCCTCCCAGTCATCGAATTCCTCGGCCTCAAACTCGGGGCCGGCGAACACGGCTGGCAGCTCCCCGAGGTCGGGCCGGCCTGCAAGGCCTCGGTCCCCCGCGGCCGCCGCCATGGCCTGCGCCCCCTCCTCCTCCATCGGGCCTTCCTCCTCGGGCCCAGGCGGGCCCCGGTGGCGGGGGTGGTTCGGGGACGGCTCCCGGTTCCCGCCGCCTACCTCCATCTGCGGAAGGTCGCCCTCGCCGGGCATCACATCCATCTGCAGGTCATTGCTCTCTCGGTACAGCTCGGACAGCTCGTGCATCGCCGCCATGGCGCCAGCGGCTCAAGCTCGGGCAGGGCGTGTGCTGCAGGATCGGAGCGGCGGGCCGTGCGGCTGTGCGCGTGCACCGGCGGCGTGCGCGCCCCCTGCGTCAGGGTGACCCCCAGACACCGCCCCCGCCCCCCGCCCCGGGGGCAGCTCGGCCCACCGCCTGCTGTTCCGCGGGGAGGTGTCTGCGTGGCTTGGAGGTCTAGGTTTCGTTCGATCAAATGAATGTTTAGAAAGACTGTGCTTGCAAGAGCGTTACTTTGTCTCCGGGTCACCTAACAGTGTTGCTGCTTATGATGCTACAAACTGGGAAAGACGCGCCTCTGTAGCCACGCATCCTCCTCCTCCTTCCCGCTTCCTTCCCTCCTCCTCCTTCCCGCTCCCTTTCCTCCTCCTCGGGCTCCTCCTCCTGCCTCCACCCCAGGCCATCGCGCCTGCTCCGGGGTTTCAACTACCTTTTGTCTGCGCAAATGACTTCCGAATCCAGGGCTGCAAACCACACAGTGTTCTCAACCACAAAGCAACATGCTAAGAATGGGTCCTTTTTTTTTTCTCTTTCGATGTTCCTCATTAGGAAAAGTTAAATTCACAAATAAGCATATTTTCCGTGCTCTTTTAAAGAAGTTCTAGTGAGGATATACTCGGTCCCATTTCTTTTTGCAAGAGGTAACTTCCCATTATTATTAATCTGATGTGTATGCTTTAAATTCTTTTTCTTTGCATTTACATGGATCTTAGGTCCTCGTGGGGAAAATCTTACTTTTTTAAATGTCTCACATAACTGTCTTCAGTTTACAAACCAAACCCCTCAGCAATGTCTTAAAGATTTAGCTTAATAGCATTTCCTTTGTATAACTATACTATGGTTGACCTAGCTATGCAAAAATAATTTCCAATGTTTTGATGTTATAAACTAGCTAAATGAACGTCCACATATGCCAGTTTCTCCAGAATAAATACAGTATTTGGAAGTGGAAAGGTGGAATCATAGGGTATGCATACTTTAGTTTAATAAATACTGTCAAATTGCTTTCTAAAGTTGCTATACAAATTAAGTTCTAGCCAGCAGTGTTTGAGAATATCCACACCCTTGCCACACGTGATTTTGCTGAACTTGGACAGTTTTATCAATTTAATGTCTCTTGTTTTATTTTGAATAGTCTTGATTTCTTAGACATTGATTATTTTTCAATATGTTTATTGAATACTTGTATTACTTCTGAAAATTAACTGGACTTACTTTGGGTTTATTTCTTTTTCTTATTCATAAGAACTCCTTATAAACTCTGACTATATGAATACTTTTGTTTTACATGTTGTAAATATATTCTCTCTTCCTGTTGTTTGTCCTGTTTCAGGGGTCTTTTCTAATACAAAGTTTTAAAATGAGTTTTTATGTAATCTAATTTGAGGGGATTTTTGGTTTGTCTTCTATTAAGATGGGGTTTTCCTATCTCAAAGATCACAAGCATAATCTTTTATCTGCCTTCTGATGTATTTATAGATTTTTTAATGAATTAAACATTTATTTATATAGATAGTACGACAACAGGACTTATTTATATATTTTTCCATATAAGCCAGCCAATGCACTAATTTAATCACTTATCCTTTTGTCTGTTAAATGCCACATTTATCATAGACTAAAAGTCCATGAATATGTGTCTGTTTTTAGACTTTGTATTCTAATGAAATCCATAGTTTTATATAATATGCCTTGCTTATAAGGAAAATCTAGTCTTTTGTTCTTTTTTTAAAAACACATTTCCATTGATTTCAGAGAGGAAGAGAAAGATAGAAAAAACATCAGTGATGAGAGAATCATTGATCAGCTGCCTCCTGCACGCCCCTCTATTGGGGATTGAGCCCACAACTTCGGTATGTGGCATGTGCCCTGTGCCTTGATTGGGAAAACCATGACCTCCTGGTTCATTGGTCGATGCTCAACCTCGGAGCCACACCGGCCAGGCTAGTCTCTTTGTTCTTTAAAAATTTTCTTTAGCTTTTTTTGCATATTCTTCCATGTGAATTTTAGAAGCAGCATGAAAAGTTCCCTGAATGACATTGATGGAATTTTTAGTGGAATTGCATGGAAATTACAGATTAATTTGGGGGAGAATTGGCATCTTTACGATATTATCTTCTAATCCATAAAGGTGATATGTATCTTTTTTACTTTTTACTTATTCATGTAGTATTTATACCTTCCAAAGAAGTTTTTTTAAAAAAAAACTTTACACAGTTCTTTTTAGATTTATCTATAGTTACTTTTATAAATGTACCTCCTCTACCCCCAAATACAGTGTCTAATTGGCTATTGCTGATATAAAGGAATGACATTGATCTTTGTATGTTGATTTTGTTTTTAGTAATCATTTTAACTGAAATGTAAATATCTATAATAATAAAAGTGTAATATGCTAATTAGACTGGACAGCCGAATGACCTTCCGGACAAAGCCGGCACTGTGAGGGCCGAGCCCCTTGCATAATTTCATGCATCGGGCCTCTAGTACAAAACATAAATATAGAAAAGTTGCACACATAATAATGATTTTCACAAATGAACATACTTGTATAACTATTACCCAGATAAAGAAACACCAGATAATTCCAGAAAACCATTTTCTCTCTCTTCCTTTGCCCCAGAAGTAACCAATATCATGATTCCAAACAGGATAATTTTGGCCATTTTGAACTTTATATAAATGAAATCATTCAGCCTATATTTCTTTGTGTCTGGCTTCTTTTGCCCAAGAAACATGTTGTTGCTGTGTAGTAGTTCATTGCTTGAATATCACTATAGTCATCATTGTGACTGGTTCCAGGTGTGGGCTATTGCGAAAAGGACAGTGCTTATCTTTTTAACACACATTTTTGGTGCACACATTTACACAATCCTGTTGTATATACATTTAGGAGTAGAATCGCTTGGTCATTTTATATAAGCTATACTTGAGTATATTCTGTTAAACACTTTTGAAGACAGGACTAGTTAATAGGTGCACAGTTGATATTTTAATGAACCCTCAAAACAGTATGACAAATACATTTCTTCAAATAGGTCATTTCATCCTGGAGATTATGAACAAGTGATCCTAGAATCTCAAGTAAAGAGATAATCTTCTTAATTAAATAATACAGTTCACTTGAATAATGTTACTTCATATTGGAAATCTTAGTGTTAATTTCTTAGGATACTTTTGGTGGTGAATGACTGAAAATCCAATTCATACCAATTTCTATAAAAATAAATTAGAAAAAATGATAAAGGGGTACAGGAATTGTATTGGTTGAAATGATGAAACAAATGTTACAACCAAAGTATGTATGTATGAATTTATTTGTTTGTTTATTTGTATTGAATTTATTGGGGTGACATGGTTAATACAGTTTTGTAGATTTTAGGCGTACAGTTCTATAATACATCATCTGTACATTGTACTGTGTGTTCACCACCCCAAGTCAAGTCTCCCTCCCCCACCATTTATGCCCCCTTTACCCTCTTTTACCTCCCCCCACCCCCTTTCCCTCTGGTAATCACCATACTGTTGTCTATGAGGTGTTTGTTTTGTTTTTTGCCTTAATCTCTTCACCTTTTTCACCCAGCCTCCCCACCCCCACCCTCTGACAGCTGTCAGTCTTACTTTTTTCTATTTTCCAATTGTCAGCTGATTTTCTCCAGAGGGAAAGCTTCATTTTTCCAGTAGGATTTTCCCACATGCCAGCAAAAGATGGCTCACAGAAGCTTTAGGCTGACATGGTCCTTAACGGCAGAGAGAGATGTATTCTTTCCTGTTGTTCATATCAGTTTCTCCCCAAAGACTTAGATTGGCTCTCCTACATCCAGGTGTTTTCCGATTGGCTAGGCCTGGGTCATGTGTCCACCTGCAACGAGAGAGGCAATGAGATAGGCATGTCGAAACCACCTGAAATCTCATGGTCTAAGTGAGATTATTATAAAATGTGGGTGGAGTGGTTTCCACGGGGATGCTGTCCAGGCAAAAACCAAGCAAATGCATGTCCATTACTGTTAGTTGTATGTAACTAGGAGTAATACATCATACATGTTTAATTTGTTTATGTTTTCCAGATCATTGCAAATCATCATATGCAGTCTATTTCATTTGCCTCTGGAGGGGATCCTGTAAGTATGGATTCATTAAAGTCTTTTTTTGTAAGAGTTATAAGAACTTCCATGTAAAGCATGTTAGCCACTATATGTCCTCTCTAAATATCTTATTAGAATTTGTGAATAGCTACATGTAACAGGTAATTAAAAAGTTGGGTTTGACAAAATATATCCTACCACTGATTTTTAAAATAGTTGGATTAGTAGGCGAGCGAATAGTCAGGGAGTTATCATCTGAGGAGCTTCTTGCAGGTAACATCAAAGTCATGAAAAACAAACGTGTCATACATGTGTTGCCCCTCCTTCCTCAGAATTCTTCTCCACATAGAGTTCCAGGCAAATGCTACTCATCCGTTGGATTTGGCCTATGAGGGGAAGCCTATCTGCCATCCATGGCAACTAAGTGCAATCTAGAATGAGCAGCCAGGTTCGCAGAAGCTTATGGCGGTAACGCTCAGGTGGGGAGAGAGAACTGCCATTTCTCGCTACCAGGAGGCCACATGGTGCTCATTTCCCGTGAAGGGTGCAGGACTGAGCCAGCAGTGCTCTCTGCAAGCCTACGGTGCAGCAGGGAGAGTCATTCCCTGATTTGGTGCTGCGCCATTTCTGGACTATGGCAGAAGAAGGGCATTAAAGCTAAGAAACCTGTGGCTGAACAGAAAACAAATCTGTTCAACTGAGAGAGTAGAAGGAGGACTTTGCTCCTCTTGGCATCGTGATGTTTTTCTACCTGCACACATGTAGAGTGCTTGAGGAGGGCAGAGCCTGACTTTCATGATGACTGACCATCAGGCATGTCAGGAAAGCATGGGACCATATGAAGACCTGGTCCTTAACCGACAATACGTTACCTTCTCTGCATTTATTATTAAAGAGCATAGCCTTCAGAAATGAGGCAATACATCCACTTGAACAGATGATTTTTTTCCTCTCCATCACATTTAGTTCTCTCTTC